ATACTGTAACTATAGGAAATATTTCTCAATTAAACACACTGACGATTGTGTACTACGCTCTGAAATACTGAGTGGAATAACGCTGTTATTATTCAATTTATTCCTAATTCGACCATAGATGTTTGTGATCAATTCTTCGTATTAGGAGGCAGTATTGTGTAATCAGTAATGATAATTCATAAATAATCGCCATCCACGCATTAATGAAAGCAAAATCTCAGCGAAGAGTCTTTTTTCCGAGGCGGATTCATTTGCTTAGCTGTACAATCACAAATATATATAAGGGTTGTTTTGTAGGTATGTGTACATTGTTTGTCAAACAAAAATACAATTGGTTATGATTATTTTAACTCAAGGGGGTTGAGAATCTCTAGCCATTCACATGGAAAAACCGGAGCTGTGCGTACAAAAGAGAATTACTCAAACACTTCTATTATCATGGTAACCACTTTGTTGATTTTTGTTGACTTCATTTTGTTTGTTTGTTGCATGTTTCTTCAATTGCTTATAATTCTTCTTTTCGTTTAGAACTCTAAGGTGATTTCGTATTCTCTCCTTTGTTTCCATATTTGTATCCTGACTCTATCATCAAACTATTCATATAATTACGTAACTTCTTCTTAACAAGTGCTTGTGACAACTCATCACATTTGTTACTACACTAGTTTCATTAACACCCAATTTTCCTGACCGTATTTTCATTACGTAACTCCCTCCACCCAATACTTACTAATTTTCACCTTTTTGGTTAAAATAACCATAATCGATTTTATTTGTGTGACAAACTTAGTGTACACATACATACAAAATAACCGACATTATTATATTATATATATATATATATCGGTTACAGGATTTCATCATGAGCTGACATTAGTTAGAGAACCATTGGAAAACCTGGGAGTACTAGACAGCTGTTTCATCCTTCTTTGAGACTCTTAGTCAGTACGCACACACCAGGATTCGAGCCCAGGACCTTCTGGTTACAAGACGAGCTCGTATACCATTAGGCCACTGGGACCCGATCCAATGACCCATGAATTCTAACTTCTGCCATATACATATATATATATATATATATATATATATATATATATATATATATATATATATTTGCGAGTGTACAGCTAAGGAAATGAATTCGCTTCCGAAGAGATTATTCTCTGAACTGCGTGTTTTGTTTTCATTAATGACAATGTTGGAAGAAATGAATATAAATCGATGAGGCTGTGAAGTTACATTGATTGAAGTGTTCCATGCCTCTAGTCGTCATCTTCCTCGTTGAACAATGTTAGCTAATGAAAGATTAGTTTAGTTGTAGGAATCAACTGCTTAGAATCAATAACTGGAGGCTCTTGTTGATAAAATTCAAATTCCTAATAAGCCGTACGGACGTATTCAATCCCCATCATGCTTCATGTAATTATTCGATCTCCAGTATATTTCTCCTTGTCACACTTTTTCTTATTCTTTATCTGGCTTTTGATATATGCATATACATTCCCAGTTGCTTCATTGTTAACAGGGAGACCTGATTAATTCCTCAAGGAATTCCTCGCGGAAAGTTATGCACTGTTGATACACTACGAGTGTTACCCTAATTTCACTGATCAAGGATGATAGGATCCCACATATTTTGGTATTGACTGTTTAAACTTGCATATATGGTATGTTATCATTCCCACACATTTTGGTAGTGACTGCTAGTTTTGTATATTATCATTCTCACGCATTTTGGTAGTGACTGCTAATTTTGTAGATATGGTATATTACCATTCCCACACATTTTGTTACTGACTTTCAATGTCGCACATATGGCATATTATCATTTCTCACACACTTTGTTATTGGCTATTAAGGTCAATTATTTCAAATGCTGTTAGCTGTCCATATTGTTGTAAAATGTATAAATACCATGGCTTTCTTTATCGTTGTTGCACTTCAATACACAGTCAGTCCAGCCTTTGTCTTTTGATATTTGCGTGCTTTACTAAGTCGGAAGGTACGACGAGCAGATAGACAGATTAGTTCAGGCGCAGACAGAATAAGGTGAAAACGTCTTCATTCAATTTCCTACCGTTATAACAATTGGCGACGGGGATTTACTTTAATTCAGTGCAGCTATAACAAAGGAGGCAGAATTTTTTTACATGAAGAAATCCCAAATCAGGAGAAGAAGAAGAAGAACTAGTGTCAATCAAAATTTTCCCTCGAGTATTTCCCGATTTCTAATATCGCACTTAAAGTACTAATTACTCATTTTTCTGGCCTCCTCATTAGTGATAATTCTCCTCATCATATCCAGGTTGAATTTTCAAAACCACAGTTAACACCTTTGGTTTCGTGAATTATTTCACTACAGTTTCACCTGCACACCGAAATTATTCACATCAAAACATGTGCTGATCTACCTGATGCCATGAAACGCGGTCAGTAAAGCAAGCATAAACGCGTGGCGCTGTTTATCACTGAGTAGTTGTATACTACTCACACACCTAGTAATGGTCGTGATAGGAGCACGATAGGTTATTTTATTATTATTCCTCCTTGAGTTCAGACAACCGCTACCTTACCGTGGTGGTCGGGCTTGAATACCGGAATGACCCAACAGGCTAAACTGGCTGGAACTCATGTTCCTGCTGGTCCTACCATGTCAGGAAGGTTGTTTGGATAGCGGTTAAACTAAAAGCAGTTACCATGGGGTACATGGGCTCCAGTATCCAAACGGATTAAATGGCGTATGAACCCATATGGATCACCGGAATGAGAATGCAGCTTCTGACGCTGCTCCACTGCCTTGCGGATTAGACTCCAAGTCAAAGGCTCGGGGTGGTCCCTCAATAAAACCACCTGCTTCGGTCTGGGCGCTAGGGCAGTGTCTCACTCCTTACACAATAAATGAAGCAACAAACTATCAGTGAAACTTATCGCCGTAGCGCTACCTGGCGTCCTCCCTCTGCGAAGCAAGCTTCGCCTCAGATTGATCATATTGCTGTCAGTTTCCGGTGGCGAGGATGCAAGCACGACTGTCGCTCCTTCTGGAGCACATGCCTGGAGTCCGATAATGCGTTAGTGTGTGACAAGTTCATCTTGCGATTTGGTGGGGTTCATAAAAGCCGTCGTCTAAACGTTGATGGGAGCAAATTAGTGGCACCTGCTACTTCTTTGAAGTACCAGAATGAGTTACAATCAATGCTTGCCAGAAACCCAAGTATTATAGATGAACATTGACTTCATCTGCAAGGTGCCATGCATAAGGCGAGTGTAGCCACTTGCGGCTTAAAAGAATGCTTTGCTACAAACCACTGGGTTTCTGCGAGTTCCTTGCAACTCCTCGATGAACGCCGGTCCATTCCGGCTGGCAGCGAATACAACAATAAACAAAAGGCGCTCACGCTCAAGATTAGACAGTGTTTACGTAAGAACCGCGAAGCCTGGTGGTCAGAACGTGCATGTGAGATGGAGTGAGCTCCTGTATCTAGCAGCAGCTGGAAGCTGTTCCAACTCATCCGAGCCAGCGGTAGCAAGGAACAAGGTGTCAGCAAGACGGTCTGTGAGGCAGAAGGCATGTCAATGACCAGCTTGAAAAGATGCCTGGCACGCTGAGCAGAGCACTTCGGGAAATATTTTAGTTGGCCACCAGCTTTCTTATCTGCTGTCATTAGCCCCAGTGCTCTTTGGTCGGCCCGTACCGATCCACCCACCGAAGCGGAGGTCCGTGTTGAAACGCCATAAGGCGTTCGGCCCAGACAATTTACCCCCGGTTCTTTTTAGAGATGGTGGCGAGACATTCGCAATGGCTCTAACTGGATTATTCGGGAAGGTATGGGAGATTGACAGTGTACCATCAATGTGGAACGACGCCATTATTGTCCCCATTTTTAAAAAGGGTCGACGTAATTCATGTGGCAATCATAGGGGTATCAGTCTGCTACCAGTCGCGTCTAAAAATATTGGCTGCTTTCTTGCTTCGCAGACTGTGGGAAATAAGTAAGGGATCGATTCGTGAAGAGCAGGCTGTTACGATCAGGTCGCGGATGCATTGATCATGTGTTCACCCGTCGTCAGTTGTTGGAGCACCACCACACCTATTGCAGTCCAACAATCGTTGTGTTTCTTGATATTAGGGCTGCCTTCGATTCGTTGGACAGAACTGTGCTCTGGAACTGTCTGTTTGAGAGAGGTGTACCTGAGAAATTTGTTAACATCTTGAAAGCCCCATACAAAAACACCTCAGGTAGAGTGAGGGCATACAACCGACTATCATCACTGTTCCCAATCAACAGTGGGGTTAGACAGGACTGTCTGATCTCTCTGTTTTTCTTAAACTTTGTCATCGATGACATTCTAGAGTCAGCTCTGAAGGATGTGCGTGAAGGTGGTGTAGATTTACTACCTAGAGATAGACTTTTAGACCTCGAGTATGCAGACTAAATGCTGCCTAAATCGCACTTAATCAGTCGGCGATCAGTGACTGTAAGTATGGTATGTGCTTTGTGCAAAGTACTGTTACAAGATTGGCAGAAGTCTGCACCTGCACTCATTCTTGCAAGTGAACCGCTTGAAGTTGTCGGTATTTTTGTGTATCTAGGTAGTTGTGTGAGTGCTGGCGGAGGGGTGACAGATGAGATTTCCAACCACACTGTTAGAAATATTATCTATCAGTGATGGCAGGTAGGCAGTCTGCTTTCCCCTCAAATACTTCGCTAACCTTCCCACTATGGCATTGACATATACCACTTAGCGGTCAACGCTGACTGAGGGATGACAGCTTCACATACATTATTTTATTTTGATTAACGCTTAATTTCACGCCGCATTTTTGTTACAAATATGGAATTTCCAGTATGTGATATCGGTAGCTAAAAATTTTCAGGCCTACCATTGATATCAGGTGTGGCGTCGGCCGAGAGATCGAACCCCAGACCATGTGGATCGTCGGTGAGAGTCCTAATCGCTGGATGTTAGCCTTCTTCTAGAACTTTTGTAACAAACACACAACACAATAGCAGGTCTAGTCTTTGTTTTCGATTTAAAAAAGGACATTCCCGTAAAAATCGTAACCTGTCGTCAACATAACACCACAATCATGAAGGAAACAGGGTCTAATAATATCTGATACAATTAGTCACCATCAGGGGAAAAAAGACAAAAGATAACAAAAAGCAATATTAACCCACTTCTTATGAATATATATGTGTATAGAACTTGTTACGCATCACTTACAAATCACTAGATCAAGTAGTGGAACTAGTTTTAGGGAAGAGAGGTGGGGGTTAGTGAGGTGGGGTGCTGGGACAAAACTATGAAGAATAATTTTTATTTAAAAAAAGAAAATTCCTGAATAAAAGGCAAATCAAAGCGATTGCTCACCAAAAGAAAGGAGCATTGAATTAATCATCATTTCATTCAAAAATTATAGCAATAATATTAATAATAATAGTAATAATAGTCCCAAGAAAAATCAAGCCACTGACACACTGAAATAAGAGTGGTCATCATCAATGCAGGTGTGTGTGTGTGTGTGAAGGAGATAAAACAACTGAAAGAAACTTACAGTTATGAAGCAAAGCCCAAAAAGAAATCATAGAAATTGTTGTTTCTCTTGTTTTCATTTAGAGAAACCGAAAACAGCGGACCAAATAAATAGCTCAGAAGATTGAAAAGAACAAGTCTGTGTCTCTCTTAATGTATGAGCGTGTGTACATTGCTAGGTGGTGGTGAAAGGAAGAATAGAGATCATCTGACAGATAATGCGAGAGAGAGAGAGAGAGGTACCCACACGTTTATTGCATTGTTGTCTGCTTTTGTTCAATTAAAAAGATATTCAAGATATATTAAGAGGAGCATGTGAAATGTGTAGTACACTTTGTTTTCCCTACTTAATCAACCCAATTAATTAACTAATTAATTGATTAATTAATTAATTCTTCTTATCATTATCTATACAAACATACATTGTGAAGGTTGAATCATTTCGCCTGTCCATTTGGTGATCCGAAATCAAAATTACTTGGAATAACCGGTGAGAAAGTGTACCCACCAGCTTGTTCAATAATTTTAGATTCTGAAAAAAGATAAACAATAAATTTTTTAATTGGTATAAATTTAAGGGTGAAAATTAACTACAACTCGAAGTGATTGACTAACTGACTGACTAGCTTCAACACGGAACTTTGCACAGATGTGCAGCAGTTTGAGTTGCCCCACTTCGCTTAGCACACAAAGTAAGAAAAGAAAGTAAACAGAAATGCAAAATAAAGACAGTAAACAAAAATGTGAGGCAAAAAGAATAGTAATATCGAAGAACAATACAGTTTTATTGGATATTATAAATCTCAAGGAGTGGGGATGCATCTGCGCCATTGACAACGATTTTTGGCCATATCACCAATCGTCTCCAGCCTTCATCGGTTCTTACTATTCCGACGACCCCCAGCTAGTCAGGTAGTCTACACCTTTCTACGTAACCACCTTAAACTAACTGTTGTGGATTTCATTGACTGGTGTCATGTTTCTGTTCGACCATCATTAGCTCTTTACCATATGTGTCAGCTAATACTTCCCGTCGAAAAAGGTAATAGCTAGACATGCGTAACACATATGTTAACCATCTCATCCTAGTCTTTTGATTTCTCACCTTATTATATCACCCCATACAGGAGAAGAACGCAGACAACTGAGATCAAGGGCAGCTAACCTTTTCATACATTTTACTTTCAATGGCCAGATCTCAAAGCCATAAAAGAGGACATAGCTAACGGCTGAGCAGTACACACGCCCTTTGGTCGATAGTCGGATATCACGTCTACGCCAGAGACGGCGTAAACTGGCATTCGCGAAAAGAGTCTCTAGTATCCGTGCTGAGATTTTGTCAGTGATAAACCCGCTGGCACTGGCTGATGCAACTTCCCAAATAAGTGAAGTGGTCAACCGTCCACACACTTTCAAAAGCAATGACTGGTTTCAAAATAGCAATTTGCACATAGTTCAGCCATTTAAGTTGCCACATCCCATATAGTGCACAGAGGAAGGCAAAAAGGAAATGAATAGATTCAGAAGAATGATAATTAGGAGATCCCTGAGGGAGGAATTATAGTAACATAAAAAAACAATAGGGTTTTATTGGATATGACAGATCGCCAACGAAAGTGAACGCATCTTTGCCATTCAGAACGGTTTTGAACCATATCACCGATTGTCAGCAGTCATTGGTTTTTACCGTCTGGAGATTCCCCAACTAGGGTGTCTACCTCTACCTGATTTGATGGACAGTATGGCATATTTTCGTTTCACCATCACTATCTCTTTTCCAACTGATACTATGTCAGCTAGCATTGCTCATCGAGGAAGGCAGTGACTAGGCACGGGTAACACGTTCCATAGCCACCTCAATCAATGTAGCTTCGCAACTTCATCGATAGACTTTCTCCCTTACTTAACACTTAACACCTAACCACAATATTACTCACCTCAGATACTTTTCGTTACACTTAAAAGCCCGCATGGAATACCTTGAGTACATATTTGAGAGACAGGCAACAAGAAACCACTGGCACTAAGTATGCTTATTTATGAATGAATTTAAGATAATATTATATAGTTTAGTAGGCATCCCATCTAAACGACCTGAAGCAGCCGAAGGTAGTTCAACAACTCTTGTCTCGCCTGTGAAATGCTCTCACATGCTAGTTTTGTTCACTGCATTCACAGGCGGGGTTATAACAGAAGTGACAGGGCAAATTAGACTCTAAAAGTGGACAACACCGAACTGATAGACACTTCGAATACAGAAGTGGTAAAACACGAATTCTAAATTAACTTTGCACAAAAACACTGCAGCAGTTACAGGGAGGCAGCTTCAAACATTGATCTGTTGCATTATGGGTCGAAAACTCGCAGAATGATTCCCTAAAACAAACATTTGCTTGCGTCTGATTATTCAGGCATTATTCAGACATTATTCAGACATAGATGTGTAGTAGAAACTCCAGTATTAGACAAAAAAAATCAATATGAATAAGCGCCATTTATACAATGGTTAAAGTGAATTACCTTTCTGTTGAATACACTTCAGCGCTGTTTCTACCACCTCTTTAAGATCATTTTGTTGTTCAGCGCTAAGATGATTAATCAATTGACCATACCAAGCAAAATCAGTACGTTCCAATTCTGTCATTATTCGATAGAATGTAACATATTCATCCATATCACATTCATTCTTATCCATTTGTGTATCAAATGCTTCCAGCGTCTCTTCCTCATCTGTTTCGTCATCATCATCATCGTCGTCGTCATCATCATCATGTGAATTCTCCTAGGATTTTCAATGGAACCAACAGTTAACAATATTAACTGAATAAAATAAAATGTTTATGATTGAAAAATACACACAAGACGAAAACGTGCATGCTATTAAACGAACTGATACGGTCGAGAGGAGGTACACTGCGGTATCCACCCCGAAGGCTTCCATTTGGACAAGCATTTATAGCCTCTGTCGGAGTGTTAGGGCGGAAAAAAATCAATTCTTGACTGGATCCCACTAGATAGTCGTATGTCTGCGATCCGTCTGAATGGATTCGTTAAAAAGAAGGAAAGACAGTGCTACCCGTCATTGCCTTTTCGTAGTCTCCGCTTACGTCTCAACATAGTGCAGTTCGGATGTAGGTGGTACGTATGGAGTTCCCTGCCGACGAACTGACAACGGTGATCGTCTTCTACAGTTTTGCTCAGATAATCATCTGTTCCTAGTCAGCACTAACTTTAGGCACAGAGAGACATTGTGTAACCTGGCGACCTCCATCACCAAATCAACGCTGGACTTGGATAGACCGCATAGCCATAGGGTATCGTTGGCGAGGGTTAGTAGAAGACTGCCGCTCCTTCTGGAACACGTGCGTAACTCTGATCACGCTCTGGTTTGCGCACGTTTATGCTTACGACTAAACGGACATAAGAAATTGATGGCAGCGAAACAGTTACGTCCCCAAATAGATCGAGACACTGAGTCCCTATTTAAGGAAGAAATAGCAAAACGTGTGCCTGAGGTCGACAGCAGGAGTTCCCTGAGGTAGCCTGGCACAACATACAGTTAGCTGTAGAAACTGTTAATAAGTTAAAACCAAAAGTTAGTAAGAGCCATTGGATCTCTAACGCCTCATCCGAATTGATTGACGCAAGAAGACTGATTCTGGCGAGCTCCGATTATGATGACGAGCGAAAGCTGCTCAAACGAAAACTAACAAGAAGTTTTCGCAACGACCGTGAACAGTGGTGGGCGACAAGAGCGAAAGAGATGGAGAAGGCATCGGCGGTTGGTAACACCAGACAACTATTTAGGCTTATCAGGGACACGGGTGGTAAAAGGCGAATGACAAGTGGGACAATCTGTGGCACCATAATTAGCTCCCAGCATGGAAGACTGCAATGCTGGAGAGAGCACTATGAGGAGCAGTGCTTTATTTCCTTGTGTCAGACATCAAGTCAAAGGCCCCAGGGCATAGCCATATAAGACAATCACCTAATTCGGTCTTAGCGCGTGAGTAGTCCCCCAGGTCTTGCACGAACTATGAGAATATTTGTGTGACGCACCTCATAGTGTTCATAATGCATCAAATTTGTGTTCTAATAAGTGAATAGATAACTACTAAACTGTTATCGTAGAAACCCAAAGTTAGCCGTTAGACTGAATATTAAACGATAATTAGGTATATATTCTTTTCAGGAAAATTAATATTTGGATCGCATCTGACCTCAGTACTCAGCACAAAACCAATAATCGCGTTGATACTCGACCTAGACATTTGCTTCATTGTCCAGAGATTATATATATATATATATATATATATATATATATATATATATACACGTCAGGTGATCCACAACGGAAAACTTTTGAGTGAAGACGGAAGCAGGACAAGGATGCCTATTATCACCGATGATATTCCTATATGTGGTGGACTGGATTATGATGCGAACTGTGTGTTGTGAGGGAGAAGACAGGAATACGTTAGACCGATAAGATGACTTTTGAATATTTGAACTTCATGAACGATTTGTGTCACACGAATTTGAAGATTTATACGTGGAAACCAACAGGTTGTCTGGAGAGGCTGACAGCAAAGACAGAACTTCAAGTGAACACAGAGAAGACGGAGGAGATGAAGATAATAACCAACAATAACAAGCACCAACCACTATCACTTCCTTCACTTGCCTAGGCAGCACTGTTTAACTTACAGAAGGAACGGATGAAGATGCCAAAGTCAAAATCAGAAAGCCGAGGTACACTATCACGCTGAAATGAGTTCGGAAATCTGCACTTGCCATAAACAAGAAGATTCTGGTTTTCCACACCATGTTTAGTAAGTCAGTTCTTCTATACTGGTCAGGAAATTGGCGCTGGCGTCACGAAAAGCGTTTCCAACAGGTTACTACTACGGAATTTGTCAACAGCCGCTTACACTATCTCCATAATGAAGACTACATGGCCAGAAAAAATTAGCAGCAAGAAACTGTGGGAATGAACTAACCAAAAACCGATTGCTCAACAAATATCCCAAAGAAAATGAGATTGTCGAATGACATCGCGCGCCACGCCATAGCTCTAGTAGAACCCAAATGAGCAACGAGATGGGATCTTGTGACATGGGAAAATAATGCGGGGAGGAGATAAAATATTATGGGCAATCGTGAGCCCAGCTGAGGAGAAGACTGCAGAAGAGAGAACAACGTGGAACCCAACGAACAATGATAAAATATAATATATAAATAATTAGAAACTATATAAATGTGAAGCAGAACCTACATCAGCTTCCAACATTTCTAAGTAACGAACACTTTCTTCATCCACTTCATCTTCATCGCTACCTAAAGCTTTTCCATCTAAGTCTTCCTCTTCTTCAGATTCCTCTTCCTCAGAATCTAAGGAGAAAAATTTATAAAAAGTGGAGTTTTAATTAAAAACTCATAATGCCTGTGAATACAAGTAATGAATTATGCATGTGCATTCGTAAAAACAGTCTGATCGTGAAACATGATCCAATTCACTCAAATAGTAAATGATTAACAATACTAGTATACAATTAGTAAAAATAGTGCGTCGGTGACATAGCGGTTAGGACGCTCGCCGACCACGCCTCATATGGTCCTGGGTTCGATCTTCGGCACCGATGCACTCCTTTACCTCGGCAAAGCCAGTAATAAAACCGGTAAAGAGGAAAGGTTGGACATGAGGCTAGCTAGCAACCCCATCCTGTGTAAAAAATAAACATCACTGTTACCGAAACTTCATGCCTCTAGCTTTAAGCCATCCTATGTTCTCACTGGGAACATGAAGGAATAAAAGAAAATGAAAAAATTAGTGAAAAAATAATCATCTTACCATCATCATTTTGATTAGACGCCTTTGCAGCATATGCTTTTTTCAAGCCTGAGAAAAGTAGCAACAATGTTGGAATAAATTCGTTACTGGCTGCTGTTATAGCCTCTGTCCTTTTGTCAGCTGGTAGAGACACTAATAAACAAAGACCCAGAACACAAACACGACGATTATGTAATCTGAAAGAAAAGGTGAACATGCCAGTTAATCAAAGTGGAACAAAATATTTACGCAATCAAAAGTAAAATATACTGGGGACTGGAATTTGAAAAAATTGCGGTTAAAAATCAAGATACACTATCGGTGGGATACACTCAGCACAACAGATCAATGTAGTGTTGTACACTGCTCTTTACATTAGTAATGGTGGGCTTTTATAACTATCTTGACTCAAGCTTCTCTCGCTTTATTTATATTTTCCGCTCTGCACTGCTGTAATGAGGCAACCACTCACATCGATGGGGATTCAACTGAATTCTATTGTGACTCATCCTTCTGATCAACCAACTGTAGTTTAAGGTCTCATCTCTTTTTCTATTATTGATACCTTACACTATTTTTTCGTCAGTGTCTAAACTACATTAAGAAAAATAACTTACCCAGCGAAGGAGTTAGCATCACTAAGCCATTGTTTTAAGAATCCCGACAAAATGTTGACTTCAGTTCCTGGCCATGGATGTTCTGTCATCATTTGAAGCATGTCCATAGGAGAATAAAGTAGGCCAGCAATCACAACCTGCGACGGAATATAGTAACATTAGAAGAAAGATAATCTATGTGTACAATGATTTAGTAAACTCTATTAGTTGAATACCTAACATGCTCAAAAATTTTTCCTTCATAAATGAACCAACCTATAAAAATTTTGGTACTATGCTCCACTTGCTTACAATCAAACAACTCTGTAACAGCCATAGTCACTCTGTAAATAACTTAGCATACCACTGACTGAAAGTAGACTCAGGATAGGTGTTCCAACCTCTTTTAATATAATATCACCGAAACGAACTCATCGATGATATAGATACTTGGGGAATAGTTGATAACAGCGGACTGGTTGACACCACTACTGGAGGTGTGGAAAGAGGGCAAGGTACCCGAGAATTGGAAGAAAGGATACTTATTCAAAGAAAGGAAATACTAACTGCCAAAGAAAGGAGACTTAAGTCAATGCAAGAACTGGCGCGGAATTATGCTCCTGTCCATCCGAAGTAAAATACTAAGACGCATCATTCTGGAGAGAATCAGACAAGCTTTGAATGAAAAACTTCGATCGGAACAGGCTGGATTCAGGAGAAGCAGGTGATGTATTCATCAGATCGCCACACTACAGATCATCGTTGAACTGAGTTCGGAATGGCAGTCACACCTCTATCTCAACTTCATTGACTTTGAAAAGGTCTTCAACAGGCAGCGTCGATCGAGAGGTGATTTGGCAACTACTACGCTATTAAGGGGTGCCGCCGACAATTATACATCTCATCCAACAATTGTACGAAAATGCTGCATGCCAAGTAATCCACAACGTGAAACTTACGGAATCCTTCGAAGTAAAGACGGGAGTAATACAAGGCTGGCTGACTGCCTACAATTTCCAATGATTTTCGTGATCGCGGTAGCCTGGAAAATGCAACAGACAGCGGACCAGGCTACGAGGAGACAAGCATGGACCCACACAAAAAACATGAAGGATCTGAATTTCGCCAATGATACATATGTGTGATATCCTACAAAGTGGGAGATATGCAAGTGAAAAGCAGCGATAAGTTGGCAGAAGAAGCATCAAAGATAGGGCTTCAGGTGAACATAGATAAAACAGAGGTGATGAAGATTCCTGGCCAACACCAACAGCAACAACAACAACAATCAGCATAAATGGGAGGAACCTGAAAGAAACAAACTCCTTTACCTACTTGGGAAGCATCGTTTCAACTACAGGCGGAACTGACGAGGATATCAAAGGCAGAATCGGAAAAGCAAGGCAAGCTTTCATTACTCTTAAGTCTGTGTGGAGGTCAACAGCACTCAGCATCAAAAATAAGATCTGGATTTTCAACTCTAATGTGAAGTCAGTGCTACTTACCACACGGATCAGAGACTTGCATTGCGCGTCATAAAGAGCATCTCAAACAAAATTCAGACCTTCATCAACAGCTGTCTTCGCTGAATACTCAAGATCAGATGGCCGACCAGAAAAGATCAGCAACAGAGATCTCTGGCAATGAGCGAACCAACCCAGCAGTAACCGACTGTGCAACAAATAAGCAGGAAGAAATGGAGATGAATTGGCCATACTCTGAAGAAACCATCAAGCGACATCACTAGACAAGCCCTCGAGTGGAACACGAAAGGGAAGCGGTGAGTTGGTCATCAGTGCAAGGGTGACTTGGAGGAGGTCATGTGAAGAGGAGATGAAAGCATGTGGGCAGACTTGGAGCGGGGTGAAAAAGTTGGCAGAAAACCGGAGGCAATGGAGATGTGCAGCTGAAGCCCTATGTTCCTCTAGGAATTAAAGGGAATAATCACCCCTTTCTACATAATGTTAACAGTTTCAATATCAATATATTCTGTGGTGTCAGAGTGACTGAACACACTTTTTAATCACAGGATGTTACTAGACATTTACACTCGTTTAAATTACGGGGAAATTAAAACTGATATTCTGAGATATCAAAAAAGGCAAATGCATTAGCCTTATTTAATTAACACTTACCTGTATACAAAGTGTTCTTAATTCACTTGTGGTAAGAGGACGCGTAAGACGTGCAAGAGCCAGTTCAATGTATTTCGGTACATATGGATTGATTTGACCTCGATAATCTAGTAGAATAACTTCTAATAATTTTGCAGCATGCATTTGCAGTCTTTCTTCATCGTCCATTTGGAAAACCTGTAGAATGATGAAACACCATGTGTTAAGGTGAGTGTGTGCATATCCGAAATTGATTATCAACAATTGAAGACAACGCATAAAGTGAAATGAACCCCCGCCCAAGGTATACTACAAAAATTTCTTAAATACTAGGTAAAACTCCGTTACTCAGAACAGATTCTCCGCTCACGAGGCTATCCAGCCCAGCTTACTACTTTCGTTTGACACACAGCTAATGGTACTTAGCTAATTGCACAAGATAAAAATACGAAAGGCAAGATTTGAACCCGAGGTTAACCAGTCAAAATTTGAATGTTAAATTCGAAAGCATAAAAATGTTAAAAATAGAAACGAATGACTTCAGTCAGAAACTATATTTTCTTATAGAGAAACAACTCTTCTCACACGTTGATTAATTGTAACAAAAAGAGTATAAACTATTGTACTTGATATGTATCCACATAATATGTGTGTTTGTTTTTGACAGTCTGTTATATTTTGCTATGTATATATGGATCGATATCCCATTATAACTGACAATATGTTTTTGTCCGTCCACTAACTAAATAAATATGTCTGACCTTGTTGTCACATGACATTACAATCAATCATGTTAAGACTGTCTATTGATTCGTTCATTTTTGAACATTCGCTCATACACTCATACACTTGTGGGACATTGATTTTTCGTTGTTTGAAAAATACAAGTATCACCGTGAACCTGGTGGTTTTCTGATTTCCGCCTTATGCGTCAGGACTATTAATTACTCGACCAGTACATAACAGTACTCGAACCATTCTTAATGACAGTCTTCAGATAGTCCTCATAAAACTAACGGAGACTGTATCACATCAAGTTTAGAGCTCACGCGAATATTAGTGCTGTTTACGCAATGAAAATGAACCTGAGATACATTAACTAAATTCCCAATTTACAATGTACACAGTTGGAGGGGTGAAATTCCACGATCCGCCTAATATTATAAATGGTAATCAAGGAAACAAACATAAATGCATAATACAATGTACGTTTGATTGGTCCACATGAGTAGTTAGATGCCCTTTGGATGAACCAGTAGTACTTGATAGTCAGATAAAAGTCATCTAAACGCTGGACGGTAGTTTCCATTGTATGGGACCGAGTTCACCAGTGGTGTATCCGATTTGACTCTGCTCAGAGGGCCTGTTGATATGTAGAAGACTAAAGGAAAAGATCTCGCACCTAACCACTGTTGTGTGCATATATCAGTTCACCACCTGCTGCTGTGGAGCCAGGCGCATAGGTCGTTCGACGGGCCGAAGAACACTATCCAGAGTGGCTGCATAAGGGAAGTAGTGGCCTTATAAGGAGTGAAATAATCGAACGTCTCATAACCACTGTTCATTCTATTCCAGCAAACGCCCCCTTCAAAGTGATCTACAAAGTGAAGAACAACCTGCCAAAGACAGTATGTTTCTGTCTGCTTTGCATTGCAGAAGCCCTAGCCATTCAGCTAAAAGAAGCAGAACTATACACACACAAAAAATTATCTAACCAATTCTACTATCATGGTAACAACTCTGTTGATCTGACTAAACTTTTGCTTGTATGCTTATTTTCTAACTACTTGAAACTCTTGCGTGATTCCGTATATCATTTGCCGCTATATACACCCTCAACACAGCTCTTTCATCAAACTATTCATGTTATCACACAACTCTTCTTTAACAATCGTTTGTCACAACTCATCACTTTTCTTACTACCCTCTTATATCAACACCAAGTTCATCTGAACTTACTAATTGTATTTCCGTTTGACAAATTTAATGTACACACACATACAAAACAACCACATATATTTTTCGATTGTACAGCTGTGGCAATGAATTCAGCGTAAAGAAACTCTTCGCTGGACTACTGGTCCCCTCTTTACAAATGATATTACCCAAATTATGACTAGCTACTTGGGCGAACATCATGCATTAATGCGTGTCGTGTTCGAATGCTACCGCAATGTTCCAACGTATCAGTAGTATATGGTTATGAAGAAAAATTTTTGAGACTCATTGGTCTACACTGGAACTACGCTCAGCACATAAATGATCTATATCTGTCACACACCTATCAATATTTCTGTAGGTTAACAGCACCATTAACTCTTAAAAGACACAACTTGTTGCCAAATGAACGAACTTCTACATGACTCCATACGCTTAAGCTGAGTAAGAAATTTGGTTAAATAATAAGTTTTGTATAAGGAAATAAGTCACTAAACCAAAATATGACACAGAATCAGTGTGAAATTTTCCCTTCAACAACAAAAGACTAACCTCTGAGCACATAGTTGTAACTACTTCGATCCGTTGAGGGTCAGATAAGAAAGCTGCATGATCCACAGTGATATAATTGTGTAAACACGGCATCATTTCTGTGAAGAGAATGCAAAACAAGTAAGTGATGCGAGATGATATAAAATAGATGTTAATTCTTTCCAAAAATTCACTCAAAATGCAAGTTCACATGTATGTTTGCCATTGGAAAAAATTATAAAACCTCAAATTTATGAGAGAGAGATAATGAAGAAATGTTTAAAAAATACAAGTGACTGTGACACGACTGTGACACATCGCATTACCTTAAAGAAGAGTTAATAACAATAAACAGACAGTAAAGAAAGTAATCCTAGTGACACTTATGCAGTTAGGGAGCTTAAAAATATCATGTAAAGAACTTCAGAAATGGAACAGATTTGCGCCACAACAGTCGTTATTCAGCTACGCCTCTTTGTGGTGAGAGTTGGCTGCAAGCCAAAATTGTAGACAGCAATTTAGTTCAATGTTACGTCCCGAATAGGAGTCATGCGAAAAACAATGGCAAAGCTCCACCCTGATGGACTCACCAACCAATCACTGCGGACTCAACGTGTTCAAAGACGATTCGCAGATATATGAATTAACTTTCCGGGAAATGGTCACAAGCAGTACAGAATGACTTTCAGCAATTATTATTATTGTTATTTTATCCTTTAATTCCTAGAGGAACATATGGCTTCAGCTGCGCATCTCCATTGCTTTCGGTTTTCTGCCAACTTTTTCACCCAGCTCCAAGTCTGCGCACATGCTCTCATCTCCAATCAGAAGAGGTTGCTTCTTCGCTGACAATAATGTACATAAAAATTTATAAATGTCTCTTGATTTTCTCAATAAACTATCAGTTGCCTAACCCATGTCTTCTGCCGTTACACTTCAATCAGTTTTCGAGTCTTACACTTCAAATCTAGAAAGACGCATACGAGAATAGGTCTTATCATCCATTATATAAAGAATCCAAGCGCAACTTCTGGTATTATGTTAAAAGTGACGTGGAAGTGGAGAATATAATCACAAATGTTGCTATGTTAATGAGAGAAAATATACTGCATAGCTCTATAGTCGTGATTAAGGTTTGAACGTTGATGGACATTGGAAAAAGTAACATAAGCATGAAGCTGCCTTGTAAATTTGAAATCTATAGACTAAAAAAATGCGATCTTCAGAATACTTATACAGAAAAAATTTGGGAATGTCTAGAATATGAGATTAGCTCAGAAGTGATCTCTGCACCAAATTTTAGATTTAGGATGGGGAATGAAAGAGGTGATCGAGTTGGGCACTACCCACGTAGGGAGTTATATGACAATTAGTGAACCGGTTACTGAAGAATCTTCGGCACAGATACAGAAGGCTCATTTGATACTAGTCAACTTGTATTATCTTCTGCCTTACTTAAATATCCAGTTACTTATCAAACAGGTATTTTTTATTCCTTTACGTTCCCAGTGAAATATAGGGCTTCAAGCTTGGGGCTTGAAGTTTCTGTAGCGGTCAGTGGTGATTATTTTTACAGGATGGGGTCGCTAGCCTCATACGCAACCTTCCCCTGTACTAGTCTTACTACAAACTTGAGAGTAAAGCTTGCCTTGCTTTCCCGATCCCCGATTTGATATCCTCATCAGTTTTACCTGTAGTTAGAGCGATGCTTCCCAGTTAGGTAGATAGGTAGGTAGGAGGTTACTTTTTACAGATTCCTCCCATTTTGCTGATTGCTGTTGATGTTGCACAGGAATCTTCATCACCTCTGTTTTATCTATGTTCACCTGAAGCCCTATCTTTGATGCTTCTTCTGCCAACTTATCGCTGCTTTTCACTTGCATATCTCCCACTTTGTAGGATATCACACATATGTATCATTGGCGAAATTCAGATCCTTCATGTTTTTTGTGTGGGTCCATGCTTGTCTCCTCGTAGCCTGGTCCGCTGTCTGTTGCATTTTCCAGGCTACCGCGATCACGAAAATCATTGGAAATTGTAGGCAGTCAGCCAGCCTTGTATTACTCCCGTCTTTACTTCGAAGGATTCCGTAAGTTTCACGTTGTGGATTACTTGGCATGCAATGTGTCATTCTAGATCTCGTTGTATTTTGGTTCCAATAACTTATACGACTCCTGTCTACTACTTCGATATGTGTAATGATATTTACCCACTACACTGTAGTATTGGATAATTTACATTATTTCTTTTGATTTGATCGACTGAATTCTTCTTAAGCCGATAAAGTGCATCTCTGATGGAGTGAGTTAGTGGATCCAAATTTCACCTTAATTTCAACCTTGTTAAGAATCCTACACAGGCCTTCCTGTTAATTCTGTCTTATATTATAGTACTGTATATCATATTATTGGTATCATGGCAATCACCTAAAATGTGAAACGTTTATGTCAATAAGTTTGAAAATCCACATAGATTATCAAACCATCGTTTTAATCCATCTTCACAAAAATACTTTTAATACATTAGATCATCTCTTTATCGAAGGTAAAAACCTCTTCTTATGATGCAATTACACCAATAGATGAACGGATAAAATATTACCTCATATTTTATATATATGTAAAATGCATTACCTGAAAAGCATTCACATGCATCCTTCTTAAACACAGGATAAAGTTGTTTGAAAAGTTCCCACATGATTGGTGATATGTTCTTTGTTGTCAACGAAAAGACAAAGGTCAATGCTTCATCATAAAATACGCTTAGATTACGATCAAATATAGTTTGAATCAAGCTGGCAACAATCGGTTCAAGTTGTCCAACAAGATTTTCATGCTCTTCAGCAACTTGTAGAATAGACTCCATATTATCTAAAACACTTGTGGCAACTATCGACCGGTATTCAAAGACGTCTTCCGTGTCGCCACGTTCATTTGTTTCTTCAGATAATCCATTCTCAGATACATCAACAAGTTGGAGGAAAGTATGCGACTAAAATAAAAAGGAATAAGAACCGAGAAACAGTTAAGTTAAAGATTAACAGGAACCTCTTTTTCCAAGTTCATAACAAAACTATAGACACCCAAGTAAAACATTCATTATATTATATAGCTTACTAAGTTTTGCATAAGATCAGCAGCAATTGGAATGGTCTCCTTTTCGAATGCGTGTATCAGCGCTTCAATCACACTGTTCAGATCATCGAATTCTGTTTGTCGGAGTAGCTCTAGTTGGCCTGTAAAGATAAATGTATTTTTTTAGCAGTTAACTATTCACCGAAAATATCACACAAAAAACTACTTGGAATGATCAAGTGGCACATGGTAGGAAAAACAACTGGAAACAAATTTGAATAAGACATTAAGAAGACAAATTTCGCGAGATGATATCATTTCGTAGTTTCTTTACAACCGCTTTACAACTAACATGGTTAACAATAATAAAATAAAGTTCATGACAATTACTCAGTTAAATAAAAAATCATATGCACTCAAATATTTGAGTGACTTCCGAACTAGAACTGAATAACAAACTCCGTTTCCTGGATATTGCTATGACTAGGAGAAATGATGGAACGATTCAGCGATCTATTTTTCGTAAACAGACATGGAGTGGACAATATCTTCATTTTACCAGTTTCGTTCCTATCCAGTATAAACGTTCCCTAGTGAAATGTTTGTTCTCAAGGGCCCGAGAAATATGCACGAGCGACACATTGATGAATGAGCTTCGACATGTACATTCAGTTTTATTATCTAATGATCATCAGGAGAACTTTATCACTTGTCACATTAAAGAAAGACCACATCTAAAAAAGACAGCTTCTGTACCAAAGAAAGCTATCTTTATTGACCTACCATTCAACGATGACCAGATTATGCAGTTGACAGCTCGGTTAGCCATCAAACGCACATTCTACGCCGCCACATCTCTTTTTCTCACTTGCCGAACATTTTCGATCCCTGTACCTACGATTAAAGGACGAAATTCCGTGAACTCTATTTCAAACTGTATCTACGAGTTCACCTGCAGGCTGCGGTGACACCTATATAGGTAGAACCAACAGAATGTTCCAATGTCGTAGAAAAGAACATGCTCCAAAATGGCTATTAAATCATATCGAAAATCCTAATGCGATTAATCTGAATAGAAATCCAGCATCATGCTTTGCAAAACACTTATTAATGTCTGGTCACAAAATCAATATTATTGACTGTTTCACAATTATTTCATCACATAACTCTAATTCAAGGTTGGTTATCGCAGATGATGGAAGCACTTTGGGGGATTAATCACATACAGCCTAAACTGTGTACAAAAATCAATAGACTTCAATCTTCGCCTACCCTGGACTGCTTGACCTATCTTAATATGATTGGTCATTAGTATGTACTTTTGTTTTTTATTTAACTGAGTAATTGTCATGAACTTTATTTTATTATTGTTAACCATGTTATTTGTAAAGCGGTTGTAAAGAAACTACGAAATGATGCCATCATCTCGCGAAATTTGTCTTCTTAATTCCTTATTCAAATTTATCAAAGGCGTTAATTGTTCTAATTTCCTCAAACTGGAAACAAAGTTTGAATCTCCGATTTAGTATTTGAAATGAGGAGACATAGACCAGTGGAACAATAGCTGGAACAGATGCCTAATAATCTCGATGCTAAACAGTTTCACTCATGATATTTTGAGGAATATTGAACTGAGTGACTGGACTGGTTAAGTCCAACCCACAAAGTTTTATGCATTCATAAAACTGGTCAACGGGCCTCCAAAGCCTCAGGATGGTCGGGGGTGGGTGCCTTGCGCTGCGGGTTGGCCACCCCTCCGCACACCTCTTGAAATGCTCCCATATGACCGGGCGTCTTACATAGCCTCTCCTGAGGAAGTCCTACTCACTGCCTTCACGTGGCGGAGGTGTTTTTCACCAAAGTGAGAGGGCAAAAGCGGATGCCCGGCGCTCTTCACCGGGTTGACTGTCCATTGGATGACAGTCTAGGGGAGATGGCTAAACCCTGATTCCAAACCTCCAACGACTGGCGTATGAAGCTCACCGGGGCTCACCGGCAGACGTATGGACAAAGGGCTTATTGGATGCCCTGGATGACTGGCCCCATTCAAAAAGGCGAATGAACCGGACTCCGATCACCGGCTGCCAATGGATAGTGGACTCCCTACTCCACTCCTACTGCCTTGTAGGTCACACTTGGTTGTGTAAAGGCTAGAGCTGCACTCTCAAACAAAGGCCGAGCGATGCTGGGGACATCACTCGTACCCAATTCCCATGAAACTTCATGGTTCATGAAGCCGGCTCATCCTCCCGTAGGAGATAGCCGAAGTAAAGTAAGTAAGTCAACGGGACACATACACTTACTAGGAATTTCCCTAGCAACTAACTGTGTATCGGAACCTATGAAAATTTTTCGCATAAGCAGTGAATTATGTCATGTCACATTCATGGAAGTGTAACAGCAGTAACCACAGCAAAAGTCGGTCATATCAGTGGGCAATAAACTGTTCTGATTGGTTGGCGTCTAGTAAAAGGTTATACAATCAGACAAAAAGCTGTCCAATGAGATTATTTTATATCCACAGCGTAAACTAGATCCAGGCTTAAAGAATAATTGCTTCTGCTTCTGCAGGGATTGACTTAAAATGTTAATCTCAATTTTGGCGCTTCCAAACAGTCCACATCTTCATACTATTGATAAATCTTATCAGTAGCATACACCGCATAAGCACCAAACACGCTGATAACTCTCTTTTCGATGTGAATGGCGAATAAAAGCACCCGTTGACACATGCGGAGGCGCCTGCAAAGTCAATGATAATATAGTTATAGTACTTATGAAAGGGGAAGATCATGTACCATGTATGCTGGTAGCAGAAAGCTAGATAATTTCTAACTGGAATACTTTTTGTCAGGAAGTCTAGCCATGTGACTTCGTCAAAACACATTTTATTTGCTTTCCAGAACTAGATATGACCCAGATACTCCAGGATCAATACTATATGGTAGGTTGTCTTTTAAAGACAACCTTCAATTCATGCTCCTTGTAACTAGAATATACTCATATAACAATAAATAATACAACCAATTCCTAACAGTTGTTTCACTGGACTAAATCGTCAGTAGGTTGTGAGGATTAAGCTAAGTGTAATCTAAAATAAAACAAGCATACACATATTCCTGGAGCGTAAATCATAATAAGAAAAGCCGGTTTTAGATCCATGATCTGATAAGTGAAAATTCAGTACACTATGAATAACGGATACATAAAAGAACATACATAAAAGTTACAATCAATCGAAGCGATACACAAATAAAATACAATGGGGTTTGTAACTTACGCATCAGAAGTTCGTGTAAATGAGGAGCCACAAATTGATGCGCTAAAATGGATAAGTTCTCTTTAGTAAAGTGGAATAATATAAGACTGTGTAACCCATACACAGTTATTTGCAATAAAAAAGTATCAGCGAATTGTCATCTTAAAAGATTACAAGTGATATTAGATAGTTGAAGGCAACTGGCAGGAGGCCTTGGATCTAGGTTTCGTGCTAGTTGACATCGGTCAGCAAGGCGTATCTGCAACCACCTTGAAGGAACTCATGTCCATTCTGACTTTCGAAACTGCGTCACCCAGTGACTACTGCAGTCAGAGACGTTACCACTTAGCTACCACCTAGAACGGTGGCCACATTGCAAACCTGACTGACAGAATTCAGTCAGCACCAAAGGACTAAATACTTCACACTAGATTTCAAGTGTTGGAAATACCACTAGTAATAAAAACTTGTATTCATAACCTTGGACTGACATTACAGTATGCTGCATAAAGTCATCAACTATTAATTTAAGCATACAGATGTCTGAAAACAATTCAAGAAAGAAGTTAAGAGCAACGAACACTATTTAAATGGCGCTGTCAGCTATGCAGTCCTTCGATCCTTTCAGCTATTGTGTCCCCAGTGGAATACAGGGCTTCACGCTTTGAAGCCTCAGCAGTGGTGTAGTTTCTCCACGGGAAGCAGTTGTCAGCGCAAAGCCTAACGTTTCCTCTTTATTTGGCTTTCTACCGGCTAGTAAGCTAAGCAACGTTTAGGAGTGCATCCATTGATGTGGTAAACAGCTTCTCAGCTTTATGAGCTAAGCATATGGGTAGTATGTTTTTTGCCATGCGACTCCAGCTACAGCCTTTCTACATTCACACCAACAACATTACCAGCTTTTTTACTGCGAACCAGTGCTGTAAGCTTGTTAGAATCGTACACAGCATAATTTTTAGGACTATAACATTGCTCACTTATTACTCATCATCTTTTCTATGAACGACGCCATGACGTAATTATGTGAAGTTCAGCTACCTGTGTCATGATGTTCGGACTAAAGCCAATGCCTCAATAATGAATATTTCAACGTCACGCCTTAATTCATCTGCCTTATCTTTATCTCATTTATATTTACGTATTGATGTAATTAGAGGTTGAGAGTGCGTAACATCTATCAAAAACTAAGTGTTAAAGGTCGATTCCGGAAACCACACCTGCACAAGCAACAAAACTCTTGGATTGCATATTGAACGAAAGTTACTGTTGTGATTGCAAACAAGAGCTAAACGAACGCCAATGATTTCATTGAAATTGGAAATATAAGGAAAACTCGAAACAGACAATTCAATTATGATGAAGCAAAAGATAAGTCATCTTTGGTATAGACAAACTGTTATTATGGAGAACTCGACTAAAATTGTGGAAAATTAGTTATCCTATGTACTGTGAGCACGAATTAACATCGTTTACCAGCCGCTTCTGAGCTCGGAAATGACACAGGATCCAGAAGCAGACCAGCCACCCTACCCAGTAAAACAAAATCCCACAGCAAATGAAACTTCGAATCCGAAAAACAGAATTAGTTGTCCGCCAGCTGCATGAAGGAAAGACGTTACCGGCAGCTTTAACCCTGTTGAAGCCATTAAACCAATATCGTGATTCAATGGGACTTTAGAAAAGCTCCTGAAAATGGCCAGAGATGTTCTGAAAATGTCAAACCAGATGAAGTGACAGTAGGCTCCAAGTTGCTAAGTGGAGAGTTGGTATTAAAATCCGATCACCCAGACGACAACCGCAACCACACTCAGGATATGCTCAACGTTATTTCATCGACAGCGAGGAGGACTCCCATGCAGTAGGAACTAACTCCCTCCACGATCAAGACAGCAAGATTCAACTGAAAGGGAGGTATACTTACAGTTATACAACGATACGCTACTACGAACAACGCCATCCAAGACTAATGCTAACAGTAATGGACAACACCCCAGACAAATAGAGACATCAGCATTTTAATCGATGTTATGCATACCAGCAAATCTGAGAGCAGACAACACGGGAACAGAGCTCACAATGGATCGACAGATGCCAAGTGAAATCAATGAATGAAGAACTCTCTGCAGACTCATGTTGCTTTAATCATTTGGTGACTGGAGTCAGTGTGCACAAACATAAGCATATCCACAAGACAACCTGAGTTCCCCTAGATGAGCACACGAAGATCACACTGCATTCCAAACTCAGGAAAGTAAATAAAACGCAGCTTAATGGATACAAGATCGAGGAGAGGAGCGGGTGTGGGCAAAAACCAATATCTAGAAAATGGAAACATCAACATCAAGTTGGAAGCCTTCAAAGAAGCTCAAGGTGGATGACAAATTAAGTTCAACACTCAAAAGCTGAAGGACGTGGCTATAAAAACACCTTCACAGCAGTACTCAGAAAAAGTTTGAGGGCACTAAGCAACATCACCAAGGGAGTCTAGGTGGAAGAACATTGGAATACTCTGAAAGCAACACGGAAGGAATCCTGCACCGATATCTTAGGAATGAAGGGAAGGCATGGAAACCAACGGCACTTTACTAACAACTGGAAGCTGACAGAGGAGACGATAGCATAGTAGAAGATAAACCGGTGCAGAAATCAATAATAAAAGCAGAAGCTGTGCCCAACCTATAAGGCACTGAACGTAGGAGTTGAAAAGTGCTACGAAACACAAAAAATTATTCTACAAGTGTCAACTGTAGCAGAATACGCTGTAGGTAACAGACCTCACAACACTCTATCGGAAAACTGGGTCTCTATCCAAACACAGATAAACGCAGATGAAACCAACGGAAAGAAGCCAAGGAAATCCAACTACCAACAATGTGGAACAAAGGAAATACTGGTCTGATCAATCCAAAGCACTCATGAATCGATCTACACCTGCAAATCGTCGAGAAATACTGCCAACAAGCACACAACCACCACTAAACAGGAACAGAAGCCTTGACGGCGACAAATCAAGACTGTGGCGTGTCAATCAACCAATGCAGGAGACTGGAATGCAAATCCTTATGCATTCTGGAAACCTGACGCAGCTTCACGTGTCCGACACTGTTTTTGACAGCTTGCTTAAAAATCGTCAACATTATTTTATTACTCACAAGAAGCATAAAGAGTTCTGCTAAAAATAACCAGTGTCCAATCTATGACGTCGATGAGGCTTTCGCTGTACAACTAAGGAATTTGTTGGTTTGGACACATTGTTGTCTACTGAATATTACAGGATCTCATTGGGCATGTTGACGACACTTCCACAGGTGCGGAAGGGGGGAAAGCTACCACGGACTGGCAAGTTGCCAGAGGTTCAACAAAGAGTTTGAATGGAATGCAGGAGCAAAACAAGGTTGTCTTCTATTACGGATAAAACCCCCAACTATGGCACACTGGTTTATGCTGCACACTGTGGAGGGAGAAACAGAAACACCTTCGACAAACAAAAACACCTTAGTACACCTGACTTTCACAGATGAGTTAAATCTTATTTCATGAAAACGAAATGCGAAGTCTAACGAGTTAACAGACGTCATCTTTCTAATTATTCGCAACAGTATCGTTCCGACTGCAGGACGGCAGAGTTGAGGATGTTTAATCCAGCGAGGTTTCATAAAGTGAGACAAGTATGCATTACTGTGAAATGTATAGGACATGTATGCCAATCAGCACAATGAATAACACTATGTCAATGATTCAACACGGTTCGGAAACTTGGTGGTTGCGTCAGTAAAAGCATTTCAAACAGACCCGAAACTTTCATTAATCGCCATCAATCGATGATGGGACATCACAATAATCTAGGTGTCAGTTTCCTGTAGCTAAACAAATTTTAGGGCACTCCCTAACTGAGAATTTCATGGTGTAAAATTAATATGACCGTTATCCGAAAAAGGGACTATTTATCTAAATCCAATGATGTCTTAATTATTGAGTGAATCAAACAATAAGCAAAAGCAATAAACGAACACAATACTCAGCACACGAACTTACCAGTTTTTTGTGATCTGACTAATTCAGCTAGACAGAGTGCAGCGAATGCACGAACCGGTAATTCCGAATCAAAGCATGCGGCTTTCCGTACTTCATCAACAACCTGAGCGAAAATATTTTGGTCATTGAATTTTGCTTCAGACAATTTTTCCAACAGCCTGTAGGCTCTTGCACGACGATAACCTTCAGGAGCGTGTAAAGTTGGCAGTACATGACCCACAAGAAATGACTCCAACTGAGACTACAACAATAAGCTCAGGGCAATCAGTGACATACCTTATATGTAGATGTCCTGAGTAAGATTTCTGCTATAGCTGTATACATATTTAAAACTGCATCCTTTTCAATAGGTGAGCTGTCGGAAGTCAATATATGGATGCAAAACGGCATAATGTTATGCAGCACACCACGACGTTTCACACACGCCTCACTAAGGAGTGTGGACGCCGCACTGCCTGGACTAGACATAGTGCCCCAATCACCTAAGAGTAAATTTACATCTAAGACATTTACCAGCCTCCGCTCGGATATACTCGATTGGGTCGTCTTGCCATAACTCCGCATCCTCTTCTGAATACGACATCAAGGGAAATATAACTTCGCGAACCAACAGTGAGAAGTGGGGTCGCAGTAACTTCCATGAATATGAATGCCCTAGTCTACACGGAAATGTCAGAAATTTGCATTACTTACGCTGATGAAAAGTAATCTAATGTTTGACTTAAGACAGGATCAGATACGAATGACTTTTGTCTGTATACTTCACATATATTTAAAAGCACAGAGATAATTTGTCCTGAAAAGGCCTTGGTGTACCAGTCGGCAAATGATTGATATTTCTTAATAACAGCTCCTGGACTCCCGTAACTAAAGAATATTATTTTACAAAGCAACCCTTACCGAGTAAGAATCCTATTCAGTATTTTTAACGACCACTTCTTTAATTTCCACATTGGATTTGATGAATCGGGTGAAATGTTTTTAAAATTTCCTATCACCGTGCAAAACATTTCAATCCACCGACCGAACAACTAAACAGATAGAATGTGACAACAGAACATACCTCTTTATCCATTGCATCCAAAGGGAAATGATACCGTATAAATGAGAAGATAGCCTTCGCTATTAATGTTTGAAGGATGTACGAGTCTTCAGACTCTTCAGCGATGAGGTTTGACATAGTTGAGAACAAAATGGGGAAGAAGACTTGCATCGTTGCGACTACATGCTGACGTACATCATTCTTCTGGTAAGCATAAGTATCAACAAAAGCATATAGGCATGTTAGGGCTCCTCGCATATGATGTCGATCGTTTGATAGAATGAAATGTTTGACTTGTTCAGGAAACTCTTGAAAGCGCATTGGGAAGTCATATTTAATTATTTTAGACAATGCTACTTTTAGATGGGTTCTTATCTATAAAACTGATGTACAACAACAACTTACTGCAACGGAAATGGGGCAGAGACAATAGCTGCAACTATTGAACCTCTCACAACCTGTTTATCTTGTTCATGTATACTGAACCTTAGGTTGCCAGACTCCTCAGAGTCATCTGCTTTCCACCACTCGGAAATATTATTTTTAAAATATAACGCTGCAGCATGCCGTACACTCACGTCTACGGTCTCCTCAAGAATTATCTTCATCAGGGTGGGAACAAAACCAATGATTTTATGCATCTTCACAATGAAAAAAGAAACCAAAGTTACCTCATTGAGTACTTTTGTTCCATTTTCTTGCTTATCTGCAGAAAGAGTACTGCTTAAGGCCTCAACAACCTTCGCGGGATCCATGCTTTTATATCCTTGAAAACAACGTGACAAATCCCATATGAATTCTGCCGCTGAATGAAAGATTAAGTAAAACAAACGTAAGAGACGTAACACTACAGTTAACATAGACAATTCTTTCAATTAGTGTATGAATGAAAAATAAATCTTCACCTACTTGTGTCTTCACTGACTTTTAAACAACTTTAACTTGCAAGTCGATATTACAACTTGCTATTATGACATTATGTTGGCAAGTAGCGAATGGGTTTAGATACATTTGTCTGACAGGTTTTGTAATGTTAAGGCCTTTGTGGGTGGGCCAGACAGACAATGTGTGCCATCGTAAATCAGCATCAAAGGCTCATTTCAGGTTGCGTACGATCATTAACATTCTGTGATCCTCCTACACTGATGTGGGAATCTCGTCAGATTAGGATTCACGCAATATAGTGGAAAAGTATGTCGGAACAAACAGTGTAAATTCACGCATTAACTGCTTCTATAAACCAAACTGCTAGCCCCTGGCAACAGAAGTCCTCGTTTTCTTTCGACCTATGGCTGTGAACAAGGATGCAGTGGCTATGCTTGTCATATAAAAATGATTAGGTGATAATTTATCTTTGACTGCCATCAGCTGCTAAACTTATACAGTGGCTGATGCTCTCATGCTGGGCTTCAAATTTCGAATTGCTATACAGAGATGTGAAATTAGTGCAGAGGAAACAAACGAAACGTGGGCTGGTTGAGTGAGAAACTGCTCTGAGGTGGATACCCACCACCTAGCTTTGGCTGGCAAATAGTTCTGTCTTCACATACTTCAGGAGGGCTTCTTAACGCAAACGAATAACGTGGGCGACTAGCTTAGGTAAACAACAATTTAAACACGTCCTAGGAAGTGCTCCACTGTGTCCGAAAATCTAAATAGGTGGCACAAAGTAATAACATATCGATTTGGTACTTGCAAAGGCATTCGATACATTGTAAAACGTAAATACAGGTACAGGCATTTTCTAACTCGGACGAGATGATAAGAACAAAAAGTGTGCCTGCATATTTCGCAAAGAGCGTAAGCATTAAAGCTGAATTCCTGACGAATGGACATCGTTAGTTTGAGTCTATGGGTTAGCGGGAACCAACCTTTTAAATCATGTGAGCTCCGATACTGTCCTGGACTGTGCAATGATGAAACGCAAACACTCAAAATAAATCAACTGTAAATGTTAAAATTACAACGCTGTGGCTAACGTTGCAGACATCAAAATGTTATGATGCGGTTTTTGCGAACTTTTTTAATTATAACTGCAGTATACTACTCTCTAAAACAGTATCAGTGAATTGGTGAATCGCTGATGTGAAGTCCTTATGGGTACATGAAGGTGGCTATACAGTCAGTTACAACTAATGACGAAGCTATGTAAGGTAAGTGAATAAATGATGCGATTCTTTATGTCGTGACCAAAATGGGTAAGATCTTGGTCTTATAAGTCCTATATATCTTCACAGTGGCTTTCGTCAGGTCTCCAGACAATTAACTGGGATGATATGACCATTTAGTTCCCAGTGGAGGGGTCACTCATTTGTGTTTTAATGCCGCTCGCTTTTGTGCGGCTTAGACAGTAGATTGTTCCGACCAAGTCCTGCTTCGTTTCGTGTGCCGTACTTTAAAGCCTAATTCATAATCAGTTATAGTAGGCAATCTTCTCTTCGCTTCAAACCCTCCATTGAGGTTTCCGTTGTGAATCACTTGGCATGCCGCTCTATGAGGTTTTGGGATGCGTACTGAATGTTGAAGAGGTTTCAAAATTGCATCATGGTCAAAAGTGCCAATGTCTTTGGAAAGTCGGTGAAGTTGTGACAGGTAGTTAGCTGCCGTCTTAGGATGTGCTTGAACATGATGAGTATTGGTGCAATAAGCTCCGTATATGAATTGTTTTTCCTGAATGCGGCCAGTTCCGCGTAAATTCATTCCAGCATTACATGGGCCAATACCTCGCTCCGGATGGCCAGATTCATGATAACGCATTAGTTCTTCCATAGGCCGAAGTCACCGTTCTCTGATATATCCACAAAGTCCGAATATTTTCCTCCCTTCCGCACCTGTGGAAGTGTCGTCAACATGCCCAATGAGATCCTGTAATATTCAGTAGACAACAATGTGTCCAAACCAACAAATTCCTTAGTTGTACAGCGAAAGCCTCATCGACGTCATAGATTGGACACTGGTTATTTTTAGCAGAACTCTTTATGCTTCTTGTGAGTAATAAAATAATGTTGACGATTTTTAAGCAAGCTGTCAAAAACAGTGTCGGACACGTGAAGCTGCGTCAGGTTTCCAGAATGCATAAGGATTTGCATTCCAGTCTCCTGCATTGGTTGATTGACACGCCACAGTCTTGATTTGTCGCCGTCAAGGCTTCTGTTCCTGTTTAGTGGTGGTTGTGTGCTTGTTGGCAGTATTTCTCGACGATTTGCAGGTGTAGATCGATTCATGAGTGCTTTGGATTGATCAGACCAGTATTTCCTTTGTTCCACATTGTTGGTAGTTGGATTTCCTTGGCTTCTTTCCGTTGGTCTCATCTGCGTTTATCTGTGTTTGGATAGAGACCCAGTTTTCCGATAGAGTGTTGTGAGGTCTGTTACCTACAGCGTATTCTGCTACAGTTGACACTTGTAGAATAATTTTTTGTGTTTCTTACCTTAACTTATGATTGGTTTTCGCAGAATCGAAGTTAGATTGCTTACAGTGTGCTATTTCAGATATGATAAGAATGGTCCAGGTGGTAGCATCTAAGAAGTAAGTCAAGTTGTTAATGATACCTTGTAGTTCGAGGGTCCGAACATTCAACTTTCCTCTGTCAAAACGTCATCCCTTCTGGTATAATGATTTAATTTCAGTTATCGACCGGTTAAAAATGTGACATGGCCTAGTTTATGGGAATACATGCTTATATTGCTTTCGAAACATAATGTCGATTCTAAAACACTGCTACAGCAGAGAAGGACACGTAGTTGCTACATGGGTACTGGCAACCGCTACAGGAGTATTTGGGATATCATAGGAGGGTGTGGCAATGTCAAAGATTCAATGTGATGAAGAGAGAGGTGCTAGGTTACAGTTTCAGCTGATGGGACTCATGTCGACGGCCTGGGCTGAGATGGAGAGCAACCCTTCCTTCCTTCCTTAAATTACGGGCTGCACATCTAAGGTAGCTCACGATCTCTCCACAAACTCCTTTATAGTGACTCTGATTAGGTTGATTAGTACAGCGGACATTCAAAGGAGATATTTAATAGCAATGGAACCAGTTTGGTAGGAGAGAAAAGATAATTGGATAGGTGCTTAAGGAGCGTATGTCTAGTATTATACATACAGGTTTGGATGGACTGGTCAGTGAACAACCGACGATGGACGAACGCCTTATCACTTTACTCAGAGGGGCTGAACGTATTGTAAACAGAAGATTCCTGGTCTCGTTCAACTCGAACATTGAAGACCTCGAACCGTTAACAACCGCTAAACAGTTATTACTGAAGAATAACCTGCTAAGAACTTGTTTAATGCATCTTGACGATCAGTTCTCCAGAATGTGGAGACAAGCCAACTATTTAGCAGGTGTGTTTTGGAAAAATTAGTCGAAGGAATATGTCTACTTGTCACAACAACAACACAAATGTCAAGGAAGGTGCAGGCCGGAAACTCAGCTATCGCAGTATCAGACTTCACTGGAAGGGGTCAATGCCACTGTGGCTCGTGCAACAGGTACTGCCTGACAAAAGTGACTCAGTTATACAAGTGTAGGTAAGGACGGCTAAAGGAGTTTTGGTGTGGGATATTAGGAGGTGTGTAATCATTGTCATCGTGGGTAACATCGGAAGTGTATTGTGCTCCGTGCAGACGAATATCGGCCATAGGCAGGCAGAGTCAGTTCAGTGCACCAAAGTTAGCCAGTCCCTCCATCTTTAACTGTATGATGCTCTGTACGAGCAGGTTGATTCACAAGTCTAAATCTGTTTGTAAATCAGCTGTATCTTGAATTTAGTTCCTTGAAACCCTTTTTAAAAATGTTATACGGCGTAATGATACAGTGAGAGGCGAGTTTTTAGGGATGTTCAGCTATTAGAAGTCTATAACCTTAAGAATGGTGTCAGCCACGTCTCGTAAACCGTTAATGCCCAGCTCTTGCTACGCTCAGGCCCACGCTGTTCCTTGCAGTTTTCAGAAACGCTCAGTAATAACGGACGCAAAAACCAAAAGACCGATTGGTGATTCGAGGATTCTTTATTGTAACACCAACATATAAACACTGTTATAACTAAGGTCTGTGAACAAATATTACAATAATAAATCACAATATTACTTCTGACGGTTTGCTGCTAACTTCTTTCTGAACAGCGACCGATGAGACGATGACTTACGTATTGATGCCTCTGCGAAAATTGGGGAAGTTGGTTTGAGCAAACAACCAAGAATTGATCGTCCAATCTTCAACTGCATTGACACTCCCCGGCAAAAATGGGATCCATCCGCTTTTTCCTTCATGACCAATACACGTTGACTTGGATGCCATTGCGAGAACCTGGGTCACACGGACAGAGCTGAAATGGAAAACAAACAGAAAAGCCAACACACCACAAGCATACTCACAGCACAATCTCACACATCAATGACGACCTGCGCCTTCCAGTTAAAGGCATCCTCTTGACACATCCTCTTGCAACACAATCGCCACTTGCTAGAATGACTGTTGCAGAATGCAACGTGACCATAGCACCACCTCGTGATACTCTACGCACATCCCCTTATCTACTCACTACCAATTTCCACTGCAATCGCTTGTCACTCATTCTGCCTCAATTCTAGTAACGGTGACGTATGCGAGCCTCAGTCGTTTACACTCTTTCTCCCCGGCGTGTGAGACCACAGCTAACAATTATCTCCGTATGCATTTCATTCTCAGTAATAGCCTCCCCGGTGTACACGACCCATATGTTGTCTTTAACATCAATCACCTCATTCACGAATGTAGAAGACTAGAAACAACTTCGGAAGCAAGCACGACGAACAATTTTAACAAAATTACGTAAAAAC